CATTCCCCTTCATTCTCCTTTAGGGATTTTGGGCACACATGCACACACACCCAGAGTGAGTTTGAAGCCACCAGGTCCAGGACTAAACTGTGGCTGGCCATGTGGGAGTCCAGCAATGTAACCATTCTGCCATCTGTTGGTCTCTTAAAATTTTATTGAAAATGAGAAAATGCTTTTGTTGAACAGAAGAATATTAAAAATACATGAAATAAAATCGAATTATTGTATAATAATTGTTTTTAGTTATGTAATATCTATGACCTGGCATGCTAATATATACTAAGTGCTCATTAACAGTTTTTTTCCAACTTGAATTGACAGATTTTATATTGGGACATAATATAGTAAAGATATACAGAAGTTAAAGCTTGATTACTATTTCAAGTATTGACATTTTAAAACGTCTCAAAATGATAGTTAAAAGAATGAGGAAAAGAGGCCAAATCTTGTCTATAAAATACATGTTTAGGACATTCAACAAGCAAATAGAGATTATTATTATGGAATATTAGCTAAAGTAAGTAAGGGAATTCAAAACACAGAAGAAACATACAAAGGTTTACAAATGCTCTTCCTAAATGAGTCCTACTCTTTGACAACTCACAATAAATTCTTAAGCATTGGGCCAAGAATTACTTGGTCATAATATATAATGTACAGTCTCCAAACAAAAACATCAAATGCCTTTATCAACACTGCCTTCTATGGTATTTCATAGACAAATGAAGCCTGCACTTAGTTATAATAAATATCATTCTTCCAAATGGCTGCATTTGATACAAGGTAGAGTGGTAACAGTGACACTTCCGCTCTACCTGCTCACTGGACTTCAGGACCTGGGACTTTATGGTTGGCAGTTCACTACTTGGCCTTTTCATCAAATCATCATTTTCTGGAAGACAGCCATCTACTTGGTGGCCCATTTACAATCAGTCCCACATTAGAGTCACATGGTTTTAATGGAGAGTCGTTCCACTAATGCTCCCTGAATTTTAAATTAAGCTGCAAATGCAGCTGAAGCAACTTCAAGAAATTGAAGCTTTTCAAGGATCCCACCACTGATTGCTTTGTCACCCAGACGAGTCAGTGTCTCCGCACTTAAGCTTTGCAATTGTTAAAATGAGGTTTAAATATTCTTCCTTCATCCCTTAAAGAATTGGTGGAAATCATGTGAATAATTTTAGTAAAGTGGTTTACCTTGTTGAAAATTAAGTACATTTACACTCATTATTCATACCAAGGTCAAGTAAAGCTTTGGCACTCAGACCCTTCTCAATGTAGTTAAATAAAAAGAAATAAAAAGCACATTTCTTCTATTTTAGACCAGCTCAGGGTACCTAATTTAATGTTACCTAGTTACTTGCTCAATAGCATTAGCACATTTATCTATGTTTCACAGTCACGAGATGTTCCTTACAAAATTAATTTTGAGTTGATGAATTGAATCAAAAGTACTATCAGAATTTTGACACAGGACCACATGGCTCTCTGAAGTTCCAAATCTGTGAATAACATTTTTGCTACAACTATTTCAAGTACCTACCTAGAGAAATAAAATGTGAATGTGAGCGAGTAATATTGTTAAGCATTTTCCACTTTAATTCCTGACCAAAATATTCTCTCTTGATGAAAAGAGTTTTTATTGGTTTTCTACAGCTAAATTTATACATGAAATAATACAGATATCTGACCGGTATTTTTCCATTTCATAAAGAGATAATTCTAAACTTCCATTAAATGCAGACAAAACATTTCATCTGATATAAAGCTATTTATGATACATATTCTAGAGACCTTACTTACGTCTATGCATTGGGTCATGGGAAAAGTGATGACACATTTTTGCAGAGAAAAACACATCATGAGTTTTCCAACAACCTAACAGTATTGTCCAATATGGTGGACACTAGCCACGTGTTGCTATGAGGAACTCGAAATTTAAGTAGTCTGCATTAAGATGTGCTGAAAGCATAAATACATAACAGATTTCAAAGACTTGTTATATAAAATACAATTTCTCCTTACACTGATATAGTATTAAAATTATAATATTTTGGATATACAGTAATGAGTTGAAATCTATGGCTACAATAATTTTGTGACTTTATTTTTTACTTACTAATGGAGCCACCGGAAAATTGAAAGTTATATATGTAAATTGCATCATATTTCCACTAGAAAGTGCTACTCTAGACTGTCAAAGTAAGGAAAAATAAACTAAGCAAATAATCTTTTCTCATAAGAAGAAAAAAATTTCTGGATCTACACATACAGTAAAAAGTGATACATGGAGGTCAGCAGGTGGTGTGGTGGTGAAGAGTGCTGGACTCCCTCATGGCCAACTGCAGTATGCGTTCCAGACCAGGCAGTGTGAAAATCCCGCTAGGTACAAGTGTGTGCATGCCTAAATTTCCAAAAGGAGCATGGAGAAGGAATTGCTATGTGACCGTCTCCTTTGAGGGTGATTTCTCACTTTCTCTCTGACCATTTCTCTCTTGTCTTTCAGTGAGTGCATGTGTATGTGCCCTATGGCAAAAACTTCAATAAAAAAAAAAAAGGATGTATGTACAGAGTTTAGGACAAATGTTAAAGATGATGAGAAGGCAAACATAAAGAATAGAAAACAGTCTCTGTTGATTGTTAAATTATGCAATGAAACAAAATGAGTCTCAAATATTCATTCTGTTTTTTTTTAATTTTAAAATTATTATTTAATTTTATTCATTTTACTTATTTAATTAATTTATTTATTTTGAAGTTGACCAGAGAGAGACAGAGAGAGGGAAACACATCATGAGTTTTCCAACAACCTAACAGTATTGTCCAATATGGTGGACACTAGCCACGTGTTGCTATGAGGAACTCGAAATTTAAGTAGTCTGCATTAAGATGTGCTGAAAGCATAAATACATAACAGATTTCAAAGACTTGTTATATAAAATACAATTTCTCCTTACACTGATATAGTATTAAAATTATAATATTTTGGATATACAGTAATGAGTTGAAATCTATGGCTACAATAATTTTGTGACTTTATTTTTTACTTACTAATGGAGCCACCGGAAAATTGAAAGTTATATATGTAAATTGCATCATATTTCCACTAGAAAGTGCTACTCTAGACTGTCAAAGTAAGGAAAAATAAACTAAGCAAATAATCTTTTCTCATAAGAAGAAAAAAATTTCTGGATCTACACATACAGTAAAAAGTGATACATGGAGGTCAGCAGGTGGTGTGGTGGTGAAGAGTGCTGGACTCCCTCATGGCCAACTGCAGTATGCGTTCCAGACCAGGCAGTGTGAAAATCCCGCTAGGTACAAGTGTGTGCATGCCTAAATTTCCAAAAGGAGCATGGAGAAGGAATTGCTATGTGACCGTCTCCTTTGAGGGTGATTTCTCACTTTCTCTCTGACCATTTCTCTCTTGTCTTTCAGTGAGTGCATGTGTATGTGCCCTATGGCAAAAACTTCAATAAAAAAAAAAAAGGATGTATGTACAGAGTTTAGGACAAATGTTAAAGATGATGAGAAGGCAAACATAAAGAATAGAAAACAGTCTCTGTTGATTGTTAAATTATGCAATGAAACAAAATGAGTCTCAAATATTCATTCTGTTTTTTTTTAATTTTAAAATTATTATTTAATTTTATTCATTTTACTTATTTAATTAATTTATTTATTTTGAAGTTGACCAGAGAGAGACAGAGAGAGGGAGAAGGAAAGTGAGAAAGCAAGCTGCCAGGTCCGGGTCTCGAACCACAGTTAGCCAGGTGGGAGTCCAGCCCCCTTAACCACCATGCCACCTGCTGGCCCCTCATTCTGATTTTTAAAAAGGATTCTACATTAGAAAATTGTCAGATAAAGAAAAATACACATAAAACTTTAACAACCATGTCATTATACTACATTACCCCAAAGCAGATATCAACTTGTATAATAATCCATACAATGACTCATTATTGAATTATAAAACTAATATTTGAATTTTATTTTGTGCATTATTATTAAATGGAGACTAATGTCCCTTCAAATGATATATATATATACTATTTAATTGAAAGTACTATTAAGAATTACTTAATTGTTTTAATTTTGCTTTTTACACATAGTCTACAAACTAATAATTTTGCTAACACTGAAATGGCTGCTGTTGTATACATAAATTACATAGAATTATATACTGAAATTTTTTATACTAAAACATAAATTTATACTTTGGCTTAGAAAAAGGGTATTTTATGTCAACATTAAAAAGATACTGGACCACTTATATAAAATCTGTTCCACTAATTATGCTACTAATCATATAATTCACTTCTAAAGAATGTTTACATTTTCCCTAGCAATCTTTTCTCCTCTCAAACTTATTCACTTTAGTTTCACCCAGTTCAACTCCTCAGACTTCTTTTGAACATGCTTTTAAGGAAGGTACACTGAAGTGAAAATTTAAGAATAAGTAAACAATTTCCCCAAGATTATTAGTGATCCAATGAGAAAATAAGGCTATACAATTTCAGTATGTAAATATGCTCTTTGCTTCTAAATCTGGTATTTCAAAGGAACTGTAAAAGTAAAGTGATACGTTTGTTGATATTTTCCCACCTAATGGTCCAAATCATTCATTTCTTTTAGCTATGTTCCATAAACTCTCCATCTTTCTATCTATCTATCTATTTAATCTATTTATCGTTTCCTTTATCATCAAGTCCAATTTGAAAACCCTTATGTTACTGGAAATAAGTGAGACCTCTATTTTAATTCTTAAGTTGAAGAAAACCTCATGTAGCACCTCGGGAACATTTGGAAAAACAGACAAATATAAGATCTGCAAACTGAAATTTAGAAATGTGGTCATTTCAGCGTACATGTTTCTTAAAGCATTGAGTTTTCGGAAAAGTCATGATGTATTTTTCTATGCAAAAATGTGTCATGACTTTTCCAACAACCCAAAATACGAAGTTCCAAGTGCGAGAATAAAAGAAAAGAAAATGTCTTACCTCCCATCTCGATCCCAGTCATATACCTCTACTTTGATTGTTCTGTCCACGGAAAAAACATACGCATAAAGTTACTTAGTAAGATCAAAATGATATACCATTGAGAATTTAAAAATAACCCTATAGTGAAAATCTCTCCAATAAATAAATAAATAAGATTTTTTTAAGGTAAAATAGTGCACATATATGTAGGTTTTAAAAAGTAATTTGATGTTAATTTTGCTAATTTTATTACTACAGTTCAATTTACATGTTAAAGTACATTTCTAAAGTCTACACTGATCCCTCAAAAGGAGTAAGGAAAATATATGAAGGACAATGCTCCTCAGGGGAACGTAGGCACCCACTTCTCCACTCTTGAAAACAACTGTTTTGAAACAGTATTTCTCAAGCACAGCGTGGATCAGAATCACATGGAGAGATTGTCAAAACATAGATCACTGGACCTCTTTCCTAGACTTTCAGGTTCAGTAAGTCTGGCCAAAGGCCTAAGAATTAGAATTTCTCGAAGTTTACCAGGTGATGCTGATGCTCTAATTAAGAGCCACATAATAAGAACCACCCCCTCCATTTTTTTTTAGAACCTTATGCTATAGGGCTTGTGCACTCGCCAGAAAGAGAGAGACAGAGAGACAGAAAGCAAGAAATCGCCCCCCAGGGGGGATGGCCACGCTGCAATCCCTTCTTCTCAATTCTCCTTTTCGGACCTTGGGCATGCGCACACACACACACACACGCACACACACACACCCTGCATGAGTTTAAGCTGCTGGGTCCAGGACTTGAACCCGGCTGATTACATATGAGTCCAGTGACGTAGCCATTACGCCAACTGCTGGCACCAAGAGTAAGTCCATTTTAAATAATGTTATGATCTATTAAAAGAATAAAATGGCAGCAAAGCAGTATGGTAAATTTCAGTCAACAATGACATACTTGCAGTCAGTATTTCCTTCTATGATACTGGTTAGTGGAATAAACTTCTATTTCTCTAATTTACAAGTACAAAGATGAGTAAAATAAACAAATGGTTTAAGTTTTTACTTTTAATATACCTACTTTTCTTTTAGGGTGGGTAGAGTTTTTTTATATTATAACTTTATAGTAAATTTTTATAAGAAAAAGAGAAAACGTTGATAGTAAAAAATCTTCAAGTTGGGCCAGCAGGTGGCATGGAGGTTAAGGCACTTGTATCCCACAAGACTGACTGCATGGTTTGAGTCCTATACCCAGCGGCCTGAAAAATACGCCAGGTGAGTGTGCAAATCCTGAGATGAGAACAGAATAAAAGGGACTGACATATGGCCAGTCCTCCTTGGGGGTGATTTCTCACTTTCTCTTTCTCTCTCTCTCTCTTTTGTGAGCACATCCACTCTATTAAAAAAAATTGAAAAAAAATCTTCAGGTATATTGTGTAAAGACCTTTAGGAATACTTCACTCAGCTCTTGCAACACACCAAATCTCCCGGTTCTACATCTATGAGATTTTTTTGAATCAGCAATCATAAAAGTAGTTATGCCAAATAACATTATCAAGAGTATGTCAGGGTAGGTAACAATTTAGCCATAGCATTCTACTTCTTCAATATCTATTTATTCTACCTCAGAAGGATAATATATAATAGTCTTCAGACAATGAAAATTCAAAATGTCTTTTGAATAATATATTAAAACAAAATAGTATGCTATGTATTTTTATATTTAGCACTCTGCATACTTTCATCTTGAAAAACCAGTGAGTGTAACCAAATTTTAATTAGCCAAATTATCTTCTTCACCAAACCATCATGCGTTAGAAAGCTTTATTTGAAAACTTTTGAGTAACTTATAAGTGATTTTGTAAATACACACATAGGTAAAGAAGTACTTTATTTTTAAAATATATAAATCTGACTAACTGTAGATTAGTAGATGATAATGAACATTCCAAATCTCCAGGAAAACGATCGTTTCTTTTACCTGTCATAATCTCCATTACACAAGGCTCTAACTGAGATCTTGAATGCTTGCCATACAGGATTCAGAGTGTTTTTGACAACTTCTGTTTTATGACAAATTGTAAAACTGGGAAAAAAAAAAGTTTTCAGTTATTTACATGATTTGGTTATGAATTGTTTTATAAGTCATTCTTCTCTTTTCTTTTTGTGCAAAATAAATGTGGTTAATCTCTCAGCTGCTGCTACATCATTTAATAAAAAGAGACATGTGATTTTCAGTCTGTAAAGATTAGCCTACTATAACATAAAGCAATGATATTTTTACAGTACATTTATCCCCCCCTTCAAAATATGCAGCAAATTCAATAGATCCTAAAGCAGTCTTGTAAATAATCTCTATAAAAATTGTGGTGACATACTGAGCCAGTGAAAACTACCCATGGGTCATCAAGACTATGACCAGCATTAGAAATCCTGAGAAGAGCTGTTTTGTTGGAATGTGGGGGACAAAAACCTAGTCGGAGTTGGCTCAAAAAAAACAGAGTACTGAGGCAGCATATGTAAACATTTTTTTTTAAAAGTAGTTCAGCTTTTTTTTTTGGAGGGGTTTTTGCTATAGGCCGCGTGCGCTCACCAGACAGACAGAGAGAGACAGATAGAAAGCGAGAAATCACCCCCCCAGAGGGGATGGTCACGCCACAATCCCTTCTCCTCCATTCTCCTCCTGGGATCTTGGGCACGCACGCACACGCACCCGGTGTGAGGTTTAAGCCACCGGGTCTGGGATGCGAACCGCAGTCGACTACGTGGGAGTCCATTACGCTAAGTGCTGGTCCCAAAAGTAGTTTAGCTTTTAAGAAAAAAAAAATGAAAGAAAGAAACTGAGGGTAACTTAAGGAAAAAAGATTAGTCAAGGGAAAAGGTTTTGTTTTGTTTTGTTTTTTCTTTTTTGTGACTTTTGAATTTTCAAGATGGAAGCAATAACAGCAAGGCTGTCTACAAAGGAAAAGACCCTGTAGAGAGGAAACCATGCATGATGCATGCGAGACGGGGGAGAAGAGCTGGAACAACATACTGTAAGTAGATGAAAGTAGACAACAGAGAGAGAAAGAGCAACTATTTTCAAATAGACATGCTTAACAGTCTATTGACTTGTTGGCCACTTTTGTTTGTTGTGGTTAAATAAAAATTTCTGTTATATTCTAGTGTTATCAGCTATAACAATGAAATACTTTGACACTTGCAATTTCTCCTAGGAAAGTGACTCATCTTCTAAGTGAGGTATTTATAAGCCACATCATCATTTGTCTCCTATTAATCATTCTCATTTGTAATGCATTGGATGGGATATAGGCAGCAAAATGCCACTAGTAAGAATTCTAGTACTAATGTAATTGGTGGAAATGCTGACAGGGTTTTCATATAGCTTTTCCTTATATTCAAGGCAGGTAGACATAAATGTGGGAGTGTCTGTGCATTACAAATAGTACTATAAGAAAAGTACTTTATTCAGTAACCTATATTATAATGCATTAAACAAAGCTATTTACCAAAAATAGTTATTTAGAAAAAAAGAAAATTATTAACTAATTTTGACTACAGGTTAATTTATTGAATATATGTGAAAGCAAATGAAGACTATAATCATATATTAATGTTTAAATTCATTCTTCCAGGAGAAATTTTTACTATACAGTGAGCCTAAAACATGCTAGGCAATTTCTGAGATAGCTCCATACACTAAAAATTTTCCAGCTAAAAATAGAGACCAAATATAAAAAATTGAGAAAAATCACTTTTACTCATTCAAAACTAATCGAAATACAACTATATATATATATTAAGACATGTGAGATTCACAAAACTGTAGTAAAAGTCATTTTTAAATGACTGGAGATTTCTGAATTATCTACCTTTTTCTTTTTACAAGGGTACTTCAAAAATTTTGTGGAAAATGAAATTGAAGTAGTTTATTTTGTTAAAAAAAAGTTTTGAAATCCATGTAGTTTTTTCAAAATAAATGCGGTATTTTAAAAAGTTCATGAGAAAAATGGAACTAAAGTATAAGGTTATTTTGGTGATTGTGATTTCTCACTTTCCCTCTCACTGTATCTGTCTCTCTCTTTCTCTGGTGAGTACACACACTCTAAGGGAAAAATCTCTCAAAAACAAAAAGGGAAAAAGAGACTCATCCAGATGACCCCTGGGCTGGCTGGCTGGTCTGACCTCTGCCAGCTGGCTCTTAGTTTCTGTACCCTCTGCTTATCTGTTGGTGTCTGTCTACAATTCTTCATGGACAAACAACAAGGATTCTGTTCACCCCATAACAATATGATAACATAACAAAAGTATGCAGTTACCCAGAAGCTGCATCAACAAAAATCTCGTAAGTAAACATTATTTTAAACTGTCCAGTGTATTCACCTCAAATAGCAAACTTTCTGTTTTTATTTAATATTTTATACACTTAATATATAACATTAACATGTTGTATAATTTCAATCATAAGTACAGCGGTAATGACAGATTTTTTTTCATTCTACTGTCTTCATTTTTAATTTTCAGACAATTTTTTCTCTTTAGCTAATATTTATTATATATAGTTAGGGCAAACAAATAAAGGATGCATCATACAATAACATGGTAATAATAATAATAATAATAGCTAATATTTCAGTTCTCATAGTCCCATAGCTATTTTTTAACTAATTATTTAATTTATTTATTGCTTGTTTTAATTTGCCCAGAGAGGAACAGAGTAAGAGAGAGAGAAAGTGAGAAAGCAAGCCTCCAGGTCCAGGACTCAAACCATGGTCGGCCATGAGAGAGTTCAGCACCCTTAACCACCAAAACACCTGCCAACCCCTCCCATAGCTATTAAGTAGTAATGATTTAAATTAGGACAATAAAACCATAGCTATATTTGTAATCACTAAACTTCTCCACAAATATAGTACGATAGGAATCATAGAAAACAACAGTCAAATATATTTAATGGTAGAGTCATATGTACGAAAATATTATTCTGTAACTCATGGATATGTATTTAAATCACACAGACATCAATCTAATAATGATTGGCAAATTCAAATAACTGGAATATAAAAAAAATAGTACTGAACTTTAGACTCTGATATTTTGGGGGGAACTGTTTTTTTCTTAATTATATACAAGTACAACATAATGTCTCAGTTACTAAATTTAAAAATAATTTCTCATATTGAGTATCACCAAAATGAAAGCACCTTCATTTTCATGTATAATTACACATTTGTACATAAATTATTATGCCTAATTATCCAATGCTTTTCATATTTAAAATTCATTTTAAGTAGTAAAACATATATGAGGAATTTTCAAATGTTCATGGAAAAATATTATGAAAAACTATGCATGGGTTTTTTTGCACCAAAAAGCAATCCATAAAATCTTCATCCTTCTCCTGGAAAGCAGTTAAAGAGTTCAATTCTAGGACTTGATGGGGGTGCAGCAGTAATGTGGTGCTCTGTGATGCCAAGGCTACATTGGAAGTCCCAGGTTCACAGCTCAAGGTCTGCTAGCACACAATGGGCATGTGTGTGCATACCCATGATCCTGCCTGGCAGAGGCTGGGGGTGGATCATGGCACAGAGCACTGTTGGGGACACCTGTCTCCCTCTGTCTTTCTCTCTCTCTTTCTCATAATAAACAAACTTAGGGGGGGAGACACCTCCTGTATAACAAAACGAATTGGTTTTTGCATTTTAGAGTTCCATAAAATATAATTCTTCCATGCAAGTAAGGCAGTATCATAAAGTCAGAGAAGTAAAGTATTTCTATGAAACTGAAAATCATTATTAATGTCAAACAAAAATACATGAGGGATTATGCAACATGTATATTATGAAAAACTATTCATAATTTCAGATTTTTTCACCAACATAAACTTATATTTTAATTAAATTTTTCTACAAATATTTTTAAATCCCCTAATAAAATGCTTATAAAGTTACACATTGTTTTTGGGATGCCAATCACAGTAATTTTTTAGAACTATCAACACATTTTACTTCACTTATCAATTTAATGAGCTTCTCTAAAGAAAAATAATAATTCAAATATTCTTATCATGGAAGAGAAATCTACCTGCCATCTTCATTACTTCGATAAAACACAAGAAAAGGATCTGATTTTCCAAAGAAGTCCTTCTTGTCCAATTTGTTTGCACAAAATTGCATCAAAACAGCATCCTAAAAACAAAATTAATAAAATAGCTGAAAGCATGAGCCATAAATAACTAAAAACTGCTGATCCCAAGCAAGACTTGATAAGAAAACCAATTTGCCATTTTAATGCAAATAGTCAAGTACTACACAAAAATATTTAATGTTGCCAGAGAGTATGTGAGCTCACCAGAGAGACAGAAAGAGAGCAAGTGAGAAAGTACTCCCACAAAGAACGGTCATATTGCAATTCCTCCTCCATTTTCCCCTCCTTTCAGGATTTTGGGCATGTTCTCACAGGGGCCCAGCATGTTCTTCAAACTTCCCAGTCATGGAACCTCAAGGCTGGCCATGTGGGATCTACCCGCCTTAATCACCATGCCACTGACAGGCCTCCAATTTTTTTTTAAAGGTCTATGTGACTTCCCAAATTTTGCTGGAAATTTTCATCCTAGTTACAAAAGCTTTATTTTTCAAAACCCTTTAACATTTTTCCCCTGTATGACTTTAGGTGCTAAATGTCATAATAATACAGGGTCTTTCTTTATATATTTGGGTGTACACTTTCATAAAAGAAAAGGTTTTAAATTCCTGTTCACTTAGTAAACTTTTTACTAAGCATATACTATATATCTACTATGTATTAGATGTTGAGATGTATAGTATTAGATGATTAGATGGAGTACAACACTGTGAATTATATTACCAGCCACATAGTTTACAATTTAGAAGAAAGATTCTTTTTGAGAGAGATTTTTTTGCTGTAGTGCATGTGCACTCGCTGGAGAGAAAGAGAGATGAAGAGACAGGAAGCAAGAAATCACCCCCCAGGGGAGATGGATATGCCACAATTGCTTCTCCTTTATTCTCCTGTTAAGATTTTGCATACACACGAACATGCACCAGGTGTAAGTTTCAAGCCGCCAGGTCCTATACTCAGACGGCAGTCGACCACATGGAAGTCCAGTGCCTTAGCTACTATGCCACCTGCTGGGCCCAGTTTCTTCTTAATTATACACAAGTGCAAGTGAGCCAGGAGCATGGAGGTGAAAGTGGCCGAATTTCACATAGCCATTTGTGCAGCTGGTGGCTTGAGGAACACACTGGGCACATGTATGTGTGTGTCTAAAATACCAAGAGGAGAATAGAAGAGAATGGATTACAAAGTGGTTATCCCCCTAGGTGGTGGTGCTTTTTAATTACCTCTCTTTCTCTCTGGTGAGAGAAAGAGTGCACTTGTATAAGTTCAAGTGCACTAAAAAATTTCTCAGTAAATACATTTAAAAATGATGTTTATGGGGCTAGCAGGAGGTGTGATGGATAAGGCGTGGACTCCCTCATGGCTAACCATGGTTGGACTCCTGGACCTGGCAGCTTGAAATTCACACTAGGTACATGTACGTGCATGCCCAAAATCCCAAGAGGAGAATGGAGAAGAAGGAACTGCAGTGTGACCATCTCACTGTAAGTTGGGGGAGAGGCAATTTCTCATTTTCCTTCTCTCTGTCTGTCTCTAGCAAGTACATGTGTCCTAATTTAAAAAAAAAAAAAAGTTATATTGGGCCTTAATACAAGTAAAGTACTTGAATTTTCATCTGTAATATAATTACATAGTTTTGTTAATTATTATACCAAACTAATAATTTTTATCAATTTATTTACTCAAGCACTCATAATCTACATAGTTTAAATGTAAAAAAGCTGGGTTTCATAAATCAAGAAGTTAAACTTTATTCAATTAGGATAAACTTTTGTAAAGGTAGAAAATATATCGTTAATTAAAACTTAAAATCAAGATTTTGGAGAGTTTTTGGTTTAACTGAAAGAAGATGCTAAAAATTTTGGAAAGCCGTAGTGTGGCAAAGTTCAGATTCAATCAGATCTCATAGTTTTGAATAATATTTGGTGAAAATGTTAACAATATCCATCAAAGCACTTTCTTTTGCTCACTACCTCATTTTGCTGAGTCTAGCAATACTTATTAAGTATCCACCTAAATTCTCATTATTTTCTTTCAGGACTTCCAGGAGACTATACAAACGATGCTGTCTTTTCATTCACACATTGACTTGCTTACTTATAGCTAACATTTCTCAAGGGATAGTCAAGCTAGAAACTAGTAATAGGGTGATAAACAAGATGATCTCTACCCTTGGAAAGGTGGTATAAAGTATTGGTACAGTGTTATTTTATTCTTTAGAATTTAGCTTTGACAACTTCTGTCAGAGAAACATTCATAGTAACACCCAAAATACACTTCTAGCCAGGCATTTTGATGCTATAAAATTTAAAAAAAAAAAAGCAAAAGAAAATTCAGACATCACTGTTACCTCAAACTTTTCGACTATGATTTTTTTTTCAAAATTGAGGTTTAAAAATCAAAAATTTCTATACATTAAAGCAATAGCAAGAGAATCACCCTGGATGATCAAACTATAAGGCAGTATTAAGAAGGAAGAACTGTTTTGTTTTAAATGCCCTTTCATCTTCACATATATTAAAATGCCCTTCGGGAAGTGGTTTTCTAAGCTCATAGGGACATTCCAAGGACACTGTTCTTCAAGGGGAAAAAAAAAAGTCACTACTTTATACCACATTTTCCCAAAGTATAACTTTCCAAAACACAAACTTTTAAGAAACACTATGATATACTGAAATATATCATAAGAAAATGAAATGTATTATTTCAAATTGAACTTCAATGAGATTTAACATTAGAAAACCATACATTTTCATATAATTACTGGTAAACTTCCTATCAAGTTTTAGTTTTCCAAATTATATTCCTTAAGACCTACAAAGTGAATAACTGGTTTAAAGTAAAGATTTGTTTCAATGTAGCAAATTTTGTAACTCTGGATAAAATACATTCATGCAATTATCCACATTATTAAGTTAGTAGGGATTCCATCTGTATCAAGCACAAAAAAAAATCTAATGTGGGGAGAAAACAAGCAGCTATGTATTTTAGGTTTTTGTTGTTATCGTTTATGCTTAATGCCATCCAACAGATTTCTAAGACCTCTCTTCAAACTTGATGTCAGTATGAAGAGTTTTTTATTGGACACGTTCACTTGTATGTTTCACAGGCACTTCTAACAAGGTCAGATTAAGCACCTAATAGGTTAAGTTTCTGAATAGAAACTTGTTTCTCCTATGATTTTCCCAGCTTGATTAATGACATCATCATCCACGCAAATGCTTAAGGAAGCCATTCCTTATTCCTTCCTTGCCTCACCCTTTATCTAACCCTTTACCAAGTTACACCATTCTACCTGTAAAACTTCTCTCAATCTTTACTTTGGCGCTACTGTCACCACCTTAGTCCCAGTCAATCTTACCTGTTACCTGGACATAAGTAGTGCATTTCTTTCTCGCTTTCAATTTGGGCATATCCAGTCCTTCTCCATTCAACAGACTGAGTAAAGCTCTTTGTTTGTTTGTTTAAACTGCCAGATGATGTGTGTGCTCACCAGAGAGACATGGGGGCAGGGAGAAGAAAACACCCCTAATAGGGCATGATCATGCCACAATCCCTTCTCCATTTCTCCATTCTGTTGGGATTTGTGGCATGCACACACATGCACCCAGCATCTATTTCAAGCTGCCAGGACCAGGATTCCAATCATAGTTGATGATGTGAGATCCAACTCTTTTAACCAATAGACTACAAGGCCAGCTCCAGAGTAAGGTTCTTAATGCACGAAAAAACAATCATGCTGCTCACCAATTAAAATGTTTCAAATGCTCAAAGCTTTCCCTCCATTTAGGATAAATGCAGTCTTTACATTAAATGAGCTCTAACCAGCCTTTCCCACCTTTGTCTGCAAAGTTTTATCTTAGTCAACATTCAATACTAGTGCCTGACTATCACACAACACTCTTTTCCCATCTTAGCCCTTAGACAAGCTGTGTGATGTCCTGGAACTCTGGCTGATAAACCACTCCTTTCAGCCTTAGCTCAGGTGAAACTTCCTCAGAGGCTTGCAGCTATGTTTTCTCTCATATAAATAAGATTCCCTATTGTACTCTGATAATTTATTTGAAGCATTTAGCACTTTTCATGACTCATTTTACATATATAGACAGCTGATTAATATCTGTCTTTCCTATAAACTATGTGTTTGTTAAAGACAAAGACCAGAAAAGTTTGTTGTGCTGTTTTCTCACTTGCCATTGTATTCTAAGCATCCACTCCTGGTACACCGAAATATTTTGTGAATGTTGTGGAATCAGTCTATCAGTCAGGATCCAAAATATTCTCTGTGGATAATGTCGAGCTTCTTAAAAATGACAAGTAAAGATACACTTCTAATCTGATTTCTGAACTTCATCTATTTTTACTCTGGCACTTAGCTATATTATGAAAGTTGCATTTAAATAAAACTATGTAATACTAAGTTGTGATAAATAGGATTAAGACACTAAAATAAATATTTACATAAATTTATAATTTATACGTCTCTCAAATGCAAAGTATCTATCTGGGCAGATATTACGCATATTAGCATTTTCAAAGAAGAAGATTTTTAAAAAGTTTATAAATATTAGTCTTGGAAGGGCCTGCAGGTTGCGTGGTTAAGGCACTGGACTCCCATAAGGCTAGCTGCAATTTGAGTACTGACCCTGGTGGGTTGCTTTCTCTATCTCTCTCTGGTGAGTGCACATGGCCTGTAGCAAATTAAAAATAATAACAATAATAATAAATAAAATTAAATGAAGCATTATTTTAAAAAATATTGGCTTTGGCTATCATTTATTGAATATGACACCAAAAGTACAAATCAAAAAGCAAAAATAGATAAGTTGGATTACATCAGACAACAAAGTATTTGTACAACAAAGGAAACACTCAATAAAAGAGAAGGTAACCTACAGAATTAGAAAAAATACTTATAAACCATATATTTGACAAAGGGTTAATCTCCAGACTATATAAGGAATTCCTGCAACTTGATAGCAAAAATACAAAAACAAATAAAATACCAAGCCAACTAAAAAATAGGTTAAGAAACTGAACAGAGATTTCTCCAAAGAAAACATACAAATAGCCAATGGGTATATGAAAGGTTCTGAATATCACTAATTATGAGGAAAATGTAAGACAAAACCACATAAGATACTGTCTAACATCCATGAGAATGACTGTTCTCAAAAAACACAGCAAAAAGATAACAAGTATTGGAAAATAATATGGAGAAAGGAAATCCTTAAATATTATTGGTAGGAATGCGTATTAGTGCACACACTATAGAAAACAGTATGAAGGTTTCTCAAAAATTAAAAATAGAACTGCTATAAGACACAGAAATCCTACTTCAAGCAACTGAAATATGAGGATTGGGGACTTATACAAAAGAACTATATTCAAGTGACTAGAAGTATTCATTCCAAATTACACATAAGTCTTCAAAATTTTTGCAAGAATTAAACTTACTGATATATTGATAATTCCTTATACTAATGCCAAAAAAATCAATGTAAATATTAGGTTTTAATTTAATACTTTCTATTTTTTTTTAAGAAATTTTTGCTACCGGGAGTGTACAGTCGCTGGAGACACAGAGAGACAGAGAAATAGAAAGAGAGAAATCAGCCAGAAGGGGGGATGGCTCTGATGCAATCCCTTCTCTGTTCTCCTCTTGGGATCTTAGGTATGCATGTGCACGTGCCCAGCATGAGTTTTAAACAAAGAAATATTTACTTACCCTGCAACAGTTTAATTCCTCTGCTGTAAGTATAATTATACCACATTTCTTCCCTGGAATGCCTCTAAAACAAAAATATTTATATACATTAATATTTTATATTAACATATAATATGAAGTTATATGACATAAATTAGTATTATATAAGCTAATATTATACAATATTATACAATATATTTATACTTACATAATCAAATAAAGAGCTTACTACTAAGTGGGGTCTTCCCTAATAAAATATATTTTCAGTTCTTAACCTTTAATTTACCCCAAGATCCACACTTCCCAATGAAGCTAAACTTTGAACATCACTTTCAACATGTTAGTCCTCTGAGGTTGCATGCCTCAGCCTGGCATGAGTTTAAGCCACCATGTTTGGAACTCAAACTGTGGTAGACTACATGGGAGTCCAGCAACATAAGCCATTAAGCCAACTACTGGTTCCATTTTTTAAAATGTTTAAACTATATATATGTATGTATTTAATTTTATTTGTTATTATAAATTTTTAATTTGATGAGAAAGGAAAGTGAGAGAGCAAGCTGCCAAGTGCATGATGTGAACTGTGATTGGCCATGTGGGAGTCTAGCACCTTAACCACCATGCCACCTGCCAGTCCCCTCAGATTAATCCTTAGGCTGTTCACCTAGTAAACCTGCATTCATTTTTCAAAGTACAACTCAAATGTCACCTTTCTGTCTCCCATAACTAGAAGTGTTTCCTCCTCCCTCTCTTCCTTGTGAATACTCCTACTCTGGTACAATGAGACTGGATATCCAGAGATTGTGTTTAGATTTTCACATAACTAAGTTCAAACCCCAGGTCCATCAAATAGTGACTACGGCCTTGAACAAACTGTTTAATCTTTCTGGAACTCAATTTCTTTATAAGAGAAATCAAAATAATGCATTTTTAATATCACGCATGTAAAAAGTATAACACAGAATAAATATTCAATTAATTATATTTATTATTATGTAGTTTCTTATATTATTCACAAGAGTAGCACACTGCAAAAGGTGAGTGCTTAGCATGACTATTTCTGCATGCCTACACTTGAAGATGTTAGTCACTTATTAGATGGTCTCTACATATTTGCTGAACTGAATCACATTTGAATTACAGAGTGATTTCAGAAGGCCTCAGCTAAATAAGATAGATACACAAGAGTCACATCACTTCATACCATTTCATTTAGAGAATTCTTTAACAAATTAGATCATTGTTATGCATTCTATGTAACCCTAGTATTGATGAGTTTATTATATTATTTATCTAGTGAATGATCTCTAAACACTATTCATTGAAAGGGGAAAGGGAGAGGGAAGTAGGTGAGAAAGAGATAAAGAGGTGGTCATGATAGAAAAGGTTAGGCAGTTAAAGGAGTAGAATGAAAATTCTGAGTTTCACTTATAAAGATAACAAAATTATGTAATAATCCCCAGTACAAAATTTACCAACCAGACTCCATTGCAATGACAAATTCCAAATTAAAGAAGGTGGAAGAAGAGACATAGGTGTTAATAAGTGCTAGTCCTTAACTGAGTAAAAGATAAATCAACACCTTTTCCATGCCAAATCCATTATTTTGATTGGGGCAAGAAAAACTATAAGAAAACTCTCTGCATTAATTTTTTAAATTAAATTAAAAATATTAACGGAATTATCAAAGTTACCCAGTGGCATGATCAAGTATTTATATAACATTACACTAAAATTAGGTCATGCCTAAATAATTTACAATATTAATGTAAATTCAAAGTCACTGACATATTTGTTGGCATAATACAATTGTTTCAATGAGGTCAATGATGAATTTACAGAGATTTCTGAAAGGATGTGAAATAAGAAATAAATTGTTGGCTGACGGTTATAAGCAGTGTTACTACAGTTTAGAACATAATACAGAATATGGAATGCTATATTTAATAGCTATATGTGGAATATTCCAGATTGTCTCAAAGTGTAAATTACAGGATGGCCAAACTAAAATTTAGCTATATGATCACAAAATTTTCTTGTTAAGCAAAAAAATAAGCCACATAAATAGTCCAGTAATTGAAAATGCTAACATTCAAGCAAAGAGAAATTTGCTTTAAGTCAATTTTCTTTTGATGTCTAATTATATGAGGAAACTATATCATTTCCTAAGGCAAAAATAAAAGATTGATAGTTTTTCAAAGTTACTAATTCATTTAATTTAAATCTGACACATTTATCTTTCTGTTCAATGTTTTATTTCTAAATTATTAACAAAACGTTATTTCAAAGATTTTAGTAAATTAGTTCTCCCAAAATGTAACACAGTATGTTCACTGTTAAAATGTATCATATATAAGAAAATTGCCAACTTTTGCAAAGTTGCAACTTTTCTTTAAAAGTTGAAACAGTACATTCATCAAGAAATTCATCTAGGACCAGCAGATGGTATAATGATTATATTGTCAGACTCCCATGCAGCCAACCACGGTTCAAGTCCCAGACCCAGCAGTTTAAAACTCACACCAGGCACATGAGCATGAATGCTCTAGATCCTGACAGGTGTATGGAAAAGGGATTGTGGCGTAGCCATCTCCCCTGAGAGATTATTTCTTGCTTTCTGTCCCTCTGCCTCTTTCTGTCTCTGCAGCAAGTGCATGATCCCTATAGCAAAAAATGTCTTAAAAAAAAAAAGAAAGAAAATCTTGTTACCCTGTAATTTTGAATACTGTGAGTAAATTAAATGTGACCTCATAGAATATAAATATTGACATTAAAAAAAACAAAGCAATATAGTTACTATAATATACTAAATCAGAAGCAGTATAATCAATGATTTCATACATAATTTTTCAATAACAAAAATAAACTGTTCATAATCTCTGGAGATTGAGATGTTCTTTAAAAGTAATTACTGAACACAGTAACATCCCATATATCAAAATTGTTTAAATAAATCACTTTACTATGCTTTGATAAACAGATCTATCCATCTTAAAGTTATGCTTTGCATTTGTAATGCAGTAAAGTGCATAATTATAATAGAAAAATTATGTCCTAAATCTTGGGAAACAAAAACAACATTATAATGTCCAGGAGAGATATTTAAAATACCAAAAAGAAGAAGCATATAAACATGACTATTAGTCTCGAAAACTTAATTCAATAAACACTTATTGAATTCTTACAAAGCACAACAGGCCTCTGCAATACAGGGGAAATAATGGCTTCTTTTTTTTTTTCTTTGGAGAGGTTTTCACTATAGGGCCTGTGCGCTTGCCAGACAGACAGAGAGACAGAAGGCGAGAAATCACCCCACAGGGGGGATGGCCATGCTGCAATCCCTTCTCCTCCATTCTCCTCTCGGTATCTTGGGCACGCACGCACGCACACGCACCTGGCGTGAGTTTTAAGCCATCTGGTCTGGGACGCAAACCACGGTCAACTACATGGGAGTCCAGCAACATAGCCACATAACAGCTTCTTTTTAAGTCTCGCAAGTGCTGTATGAGGACAGGGATGGGGAAAGGTATTCAGCCTCCTGACTGAATTTTAGGTTATCCAGGTGCTATGTTCCAGCACTCTGTGGAACCCACATGTACTAGGGTTCACAGAAGAATGAACAGGACCACAGTAAGAAAAACCACTGCGGTTTTGCTTATAATTGTTTGGATATTTTGTTGCTTGATTAATTTTTTAGGTTGACCTGCTTAAGAAAGGACTACAGTCGGGCCAGCTGGTGACATGGTGGTTAAGGTGGCTGAATCCCATATGCCCGACTGTGTGGTTTGTGTCCCAGACCAGGATGCTTGAAAAACATGCAGGGCACATGTGTGTGCAAATCCCCAAAGGAGGGAGAGCTGGAGGAGAAGGGATTGCGGTGCAGTTACCCTCCCCATGTGGAAGGGTACTTTTTCATTTTCATTTTTTTCTCTCTTTCTCTCTCACTCTTACTCTTCTGTTTCTTTGGTGAGCACACATACCTACTGACAATTTTTTTTTAAGTACAATAGAGTATTTAAAACAAACAAGTAAACAAAGATTTTATGAAATGATGGGGAAAAACAACCTTCACTAAAACGCTGTGAGAAGCTAAACAATTCAGTTAGCTACAAATGGTGTGTGTGTGTGTGTGTGTGTGTGTGTGTGTGTGTGCGTGATAGAGATTTTTGCTGTAGGGCACATGTGCTTGCCAGAGAGACAGAAACCAATAAATCACTCCTCCTCCCAGGCAGGATGGCCATGCTTCTCCTCCATTCTCCTCTCAGGATTTTGGACATGCACACATACGTGCCCAGTGTGAGTTTTAAGTCACCAGTTCTGGGACTTGAACCACAGTTGACTACATGGTAGTCCAGTGACATAAAAATTATGCCATCTGTTGGTCTGACAAATGGTATATTTATTTTAACAAGAACTGAATATATTGTGCAAATGACTAAAAATATACAATAGAATATAGTTGTATTTGCAAATGTCTCTTTACTAAACTCCCTCTAGGTCTAGAATCTGTCATCTGTGTTAACTCAGTCTGAGAAAGAGTTGAGACTCTGTTGACATATCCCTTATTACTATTATTAACCCCAGCAGATGGCATAGTATTTAGATCGCTGGACTCCCACATACGGCAGTACGAGTCCAAGACCCCATGGCTTGAAAATCACGCCAGGCACATGTGCGTTTGTGTCCAAGAGCCTGAGAAGAGAATGGATAAGGGATTGCAATGTGGCCATTTCCCTCTCACTGTCTCTCTCTCTCTCCCCCTTCCTCTGGCGAGCTCACATGCCCTAATGCAAAAACCTCTAAAAAAAAAAAAAAATCAATATTGTTATCAAAGCAGACAGTGAGCTGCAAAGATCACTGAGTTTTTCATTTACTGGAATTCATTCTTAGGGTGGCCTGATGCACTGCACATCTCCCTGAGCCCAAGCTGGGACTACATACAGCCTTGTCAAGGCTAAATAGTCACAAAAGCTTTTTCTAAAAAACAAATTTAAAAATATATAAATACACTAACAGTATCTAATCTCTCCCCCTTTCTATTGCTCAAGAAATATGTAACTTTGAAAGCAACTTTGAAAGGAGAAA